TTTTATAATTATATTAAACATTAATTGTTCTCAGTAAGAACCACATTAAAAAAAATTTAAAATGTGATTTAAGTTTTTTAATTTGTTATTATTATTAAAATATTATAAATTATGATGTAATTAAATTATATGAAATTAAGTTTTAATTAGTAGTTTTATAATTATATTAAACATTAATTGTTCTCAGTAAGAACCACATTAAAAAAATTTTAAAATGAGATTTTTGATTTTATATATAAAATTACTATAGATCTATTATGTTTTTTATAATTTTAAAAAAAATAATCTAAAAAAATTATCAAACACATATATTTAAAAATGCTATAGGATTGTACGAAAAACTTTTTATTGCAATCTCAGGCTGACCTACAGTTCACCTTAAGCATATTATAAATTTTATAATTATTGATTAAAACATAAATTTTGTAATATTAAATGAATTTTTTATTAATAATTATAAAATATACGATTTAATACGCAGCGTGAATTGCACAAAAACTACTTTTCATTTAGATTTGAAGATAAATTCTTATTGTTTCTTTACTTTGATTTTAAAATGGTGAGTGTGTAATATTTTGCACCTTTTTGTTATGCATAAAAATCTCTGCTAGATAACCCTTGAATACTCAGTTTTTGGATTAACTCTGCTGTTAAATTATGGGAAGGCGGGGTTTATCCCTAGATTGCATTTCTATATATATATATATATATATCTAATCTAGTGGGATGGAATGGAGTACTCTTATTATGATTGTTGCACGTATAATTTCAATAGAATAGGATTAAATTTATTAGCTCAAATTTTGGTTAGTTATTTCAAGTAGTTTAGTTAGTATACAAGGATAAAAAATGTTAAAAGGGAATTCTTAATCCATTTATTATCCAATCATAGAAGAGAGGAAATTTTGAGGTTCATCCATCAGAGATACCTCACCTGTATATATTATAACGAACAACAGACAAACATCTAGAATACACATTACCCCACAAGTCTGGGGATTAGACTCATGTAAGATTGAGGGAATGTGTTCAAAATCATTTTCTGTTTTTGCACTTGGGACTTTTACCTAGTTCTCTAATATATCATGCATCTCTATTAGGCAACAAGTGGACGCTGCTGATTGATGCTTCAGGTCATCATTTGTAATATGCTTCAAGCATGTAAGACTTTGATTTTTGGAATTTGGACCATTACTGCTTTAAGCTTTAAGCAACACCTTACCCTTATCAAACTTGTCCCCGCTTAAATAAAGGTACACACAAAATTAAAGACCGTTTGTGTAAGGTGGTTGGTCATGATTGATTGTCAGTAGCACTTTCTTCCGTCTGGGTAAGTATTATACAATGAACCAAAGCCAATATATGGCCTTAGACTTGAAGTGGGGATTGAAGGACTATTATCAAAGTTAGATAAACATTGTTGGGTTTCATTAAATCTGAGAAAATTGCTCTACCTGACACCTTTTCAAAACCAAGGTCCACGAAAGTCTGCTGACTGGCAATGTGGCGTAAAATGCGCAATACGAAGGTGACCTTTGGAGCCCACATGTCGGTTTACTTCCGCGTTTGTGATAACCGAAGAGATAGGAAGATAGAATGGGATTATATCTTGGTCATTGTCATGCATTTTGTTGCTTTGAGTTTAAGGAAGTAATAATACGACTTGCAAAATAGGTCGATGTATACATTTACCATAGAACATGCAGCATTGATGTTCCTTGAAATCACGGTGGTCCTAATTTAAGGTTTTCTCCTATTTATTAATGTGACGCTTGATGATAAGCATTAGTACCTTTTCTTTGACTGTTTTTTTTTTTTCGGATAACTTTTTACAATTTTGGAAGATGTTGATGCTCAGGCTAAAGACCTCGGCTGAGGGATAGAGTTTGTTCAGCAGACCTGAATGCTTTTCTTGGGCTGGAAATTGGGCCTGGCTAAATGTTTCCAGCCCAATTTCTAGTTTTACAATTTGGGTATAGGTACGTGTATGGGGGAGATTAATTTGCAATCGACAAGGTAAGAGTCCATTCGGGAGTTGCAAATAGGCTAAGCTTTTTGTACCAAAAAAAATAGGCTAAGCTTTTTTTTTTGTTTTTTTGTTTTTTTTTTGGTTATACAAGGGTAGACAACCTTTCTCTCACCCCTTATCTCTTATTTCATCCTATTCGCATGTCATGTATAACTCAAATTTAGGATTTTTTATTTTTAGCAAAAGAAAATTACCACTAAATTACTTAAGTCGTTAGCGCAATTAAGCTAAGTTTAATTGGTCCTATTTTAACAGTTTAATGTTATTTCCGTTTGCACAAAAAAAAAAAAAAAAAAGGATCCTATTTTAATTTTTCTGGCAATCAATTTCTTCTATTTCAATATCTGGATACTGCATTCCTTAGCAGGAGATTGTGGGAGTAAGGGATACAAGTCAACATGCCAAACTATTTCTCATGTTTGAATTTTAGGCATATAGAAGATGGTTCTTTTATTCGTTCAATTACAGGATGTGGTTTAGATTAGGTCTTAGAGCACCACAAGTGGCTAGTTCCCCTTAGCCTGTAGCCTGTAGGATGATCTGGATGCCAACTGTACAGAGGGAAGAAAACCAACAAAACAAAACAAAGAAGTCTTAACGTACTTATCTCTTTCACTAATTACAATGCTACGGCCTATAGAGAACTAGTTTAGGTAAATTTTTAAGTCTATAGCACAATTTTTTTCAAACTTTTAAATCAGGATAATTCAAAGACGTCAAGTTATAGGGGGTATGTGTTTGTGTGTGAAACTGAAAAACTTGAAAATGCATATAGTCTACAGGAATCTCTTGTATTAACAAAACCTCAAATCCACCCACGGAACGTAAGCTTTCCTTGTCCTTTGTACGTTTGTTTTACTTTACAGAGTATGATTATCTCTCTTCCTCGATGCAGACACCAAATTGGCTTAACTGGCAAAAAGCTCCCTCAAAAGTTTGCTTAACCTTTTCCCCTTTTCAACCACTCCCTCCTCTTTCTCGATCGCCAAAGCGATGAGCACGTGACCCGTGCACATTGATGTGAGTGTAAATGTCGCCAGGTGGGGTGGGCGTTTAGTAGAAACCATGGCACAGCCAGATTGTAATGTTTTGGTATGTAGGCCAAGTGAGCTTTATTCACTCTCAGACGTTCTAGTAATTGTTAAGTTTTTAATGAGGTTTGTTTACACTAAGGTTATACAGACATTAACATCACTGAAATTATATTATGCTGCAGTCTGGATTGCTTCATTATTAGGTAGGAGTTTTGCTTCATTATTAAGTATGATGTGTTATTGGTTTAAATATTTTGAAGCTTGTGTGTATGTCATCTTAAGTGCGGATTTATACGGGTTAGAATACTTATTATACTCTAAATCAATAAAATCATTTGGTTGATAAAAAATATATATAAATGGTCTGAGAGAAAAAAAAAACTTCTCCAAATGGGTTGATTTCAAATTTTTGTCTTTGTGTCGCAAATTTAAAGCATTCATTGATTACCATATTGTAATTGAAGACTCGACAACAACCTGGGTTGGAGATGCAGGGATTTGACATTTATGTGTTGTTTCTTTCCCCCTTACTCTCTCTCTCTCTCTCTCACACACACACTTTCTCCTTAATCGCAATTTTCGAGACTGTAAAAGCGTTGAAATCTGCAGCCAGTATCGTCCTGTCCTTTTGTCACTCTAATGTAGTACAATGGTGGAGCCTTTATGGTGTACGTTACCACATTCAATTGCAGCATATCTTCCGGGCACCCCTTTGAAAACCCAAAAAACAACAAGATTTATCTCTTTAAACCTTAAAGACCAACACCAGAACTAACCACTGTAATTAATTTAATTAAAAAAAAGTGTTTTATTGTTTAAATTATATTAAATTATTAAATATTTATTATTGAATTGATGAAGAGTCTTTTGATAATGAAAAAATCTTTTATTTAAAAGTTAATATTTTATAATCTAACATAATATAAATTGTAAAATAAGTAATTATTAATTTAAAATTTTTAAATATGATTATGTTATAGAGATAATTTTATTATATTATTTTTTAATATAACTTTCACAAATCATTAAATAAGTGAATGTATTTAATATTATGAGTTTTATATAAATAAAAAAATCAATCATTTAAATAATATATCAAATTATACTAAAAAATTATATAAAAAATTATTTCAAAATCATTTTTTTTAAAATATTCTGTATTAGGAGAGAAAGAGAGCTTGGTTAGGTAATTTGTGTGGATTTGGAGCAGGTGGAATTTAATTAAGTTACAGAATCCCAAAAATTAGTGCCGGTATCACATTGGCAGCAAGGCTTCGAAAATTTTACCTTATTAAATTGTGCTGCGAAAACAGAATTCACATCACCTGCAAGGGAACAGTGCATGTCAGGTCAACATGGGGGAAGTAAATTGCAGCACAAATGACAAATTATTTTATTGCCCCATAAAACGTCCCCGTACCGCATTTCTGTTTTCTAAACTAATCCAGCTGATTTGCATATCAATTCCTGTATCTTAATTCTGATGTCCTTGTTTTTTTTTTAATTCACAATTGTGCAGTTTAGCGAAATTAGAAGCATTCGCTGTGGAACAATCCTCACATTCAACAAGAACCCGTTGTGTCAAATTTTAAGTTGTACAATTTAAATTACAATATAATTTTTTTTAAATTTTTTTTCTATTATATTTTTATATGAAAGGCATGGTATGATACGTATATTGCGTGAGTACTTTGCCAGGGTAGGGCTTGTTGACGTTCTCAGTTTTCTTTCTTTGAGGGGCAAAAATGAAAGAGACTAATGAAGCTAGCCTGACAAAAACAATAACAGAGAAAAGGAATCGGGCTCATTCAACCGGAAGCAACTACCCAGTAGTACTGCAAATTCATAGTTGTGCCAGGTCTTTATCTTGACACCAAGAAAGCAATGTATGCCTTCCAAAAATCCAAAGACGTCATAAATCATAAAGCCACTCTTTGTTTTGACCATAGTATGGTAATTTAACAGTTTGAGTCTTTTCTGTGTGGGATTTTCACAGAGGGTAATTTCAGAGTTTATCTGCCTCTGTTTTTTTTTCCTCTTTTTTTTTTTTTTGGCATCTATATTGCCAGGCATGGCTTGCTTCAAGAATGAACTCTCAAGAGTAGGACAACAAGAATCTTCTTTCCAAAGGTTGTTTGGAGGTTGGAACCCTCAATACAATATTGTTTTTGTAGCCATTAGCTGATATACCTTCTCCCACAGGGAAGGTTCAATTTCTTCGTTTCAGCAAAAGGATGAAAATTAACATAGATGAATGCACTTTCTTTCTGATATGTGAAATTTTTATATGCACTTTTATGCCTTATGCAAAACTCTCGGTTTTAGTATTCAAAATGTCTAAAATAACAAGATTATAAAAGTTAGGCGTCCTAGTGGAGTATTAAGTGAAATAATCCAAGTTTTAAATGAGGAAAACCTCAATTTCTTAAAAGTCATTAGTTTTGTTGGCCAAATTATATGAGACTATAAACTTATAATTATTAAACTAAAGTAATAATTTTTATAATTAAAAAATATTTTTATTAAACAATTTAAATTATATAATTTAACACAAATCTATGGTCTCTTAATCCCCAAGTATCATTTTGCTTCATATATATCCAATCCTTTCATTAGTAAACTAAAGTAATAATTTTTATAATTAAAAAATATTTTTATTAAATAATTTAAATTATATAATTTAACACAAATCTATGGTCTCTTAATCCCCAAGTATCATTTTGCTTCATATATATCCAATCCTTTCATTAGTATCACAAAATGCTGTAAATAAAAGTCTAAAAGCAAAGTGAAAAAGTGGTTTTGACCTAGGCCAAATACTAGTACTGTTGGTGAGGGGTTAAAAAGGCATACTGAAAAGGGACGCCATGGACCCCTGACTACTGACTCTATCTGTCGGTCATCCCCTCGAAGTCTTCGCCATTCCCAAAAGCGACACGGCAGACGAGGGTCCTTTAATTCATGAAAACAAAAAATAATAATAATAATAATAATGAATTCCTTAACACTGTAATTTTTAGTCTTTTGATTTATTAATATAAAATTTTATTTTATAATACAAATTATATTAAATATTAATTTTTATAATTTATATTTTTAAAATATAAATGTACATTTTATTTACTATTTTATTATAAATAATAATATAATTTGATTTACAAAACATTGAACATTCAATTAAGAGGGGTACATGATAATGAGAAAAAGAAAAGAATTCTTATATTTGATGATTCATGTTTTGTAATTTG